TGGCCTTTAAGCCATGGATCTTTACGCTGGCTTGCTTCTGCCTCGGCTTCAACTGCTGCTTCTGAGTGGCGAAAAGGAGGGCTTTCAGTTGAGGGGTCATGGTTTCGGGTTTAGGGGTTAATCAGGGTTGAGGGAGTTAGGGGTTAGGGTTGAGGAGTTGGGGGTTTAAGTTTTCAGTGCTAATTCGGCAGATTACAAGCTAGAGTTTGGGGATTTGTTGATTGGAGGGCTCTTCAGTGGTATATGAAAGGGTGTTGTAAGGATTTTCTGACGGTTTTCTAAGGGGTCCATAGTCCTTTAATCTATGGATATTCATAGGAGTCAATGTCGGGGCCCTTCGTGGGTTTGGAGATTACGGTGCACGGGGTTGTGGGAGTACTTGTTCTGGCAAGGTTCAGAAGTCTAATCTCGAAACCTTAAAACGCCGAAATCGTTCAAAAGCCTAAACGCTTTCGAAACTCTCCTAATAAGCCCTGAAGCACTTGCGTATGAAGCTCATGTCTCGATTGGGTCGAGCCTCGGCAAAAGAGTGCCACGCCAGAGACTGCACCAACGCCGAAGAAGGACAGGACAGCCTTCAACTCAAGACTTAAACCTTAAACCCCTAGTTTAAGGGAGTGGGCACCTGGAAAAACTTATGAAAGCTCTCCGGGGGATAAATTATTAATTCTATTGTTAACGGGTTCCTCATTATGTTTAATGCAGTATAATATACCCCCCAAGAAACAACCTATATAGATCCCTTGTAGAAACCTTAAGGGAACCCTTTAAAGATATTCCTTTTGAGGTCTGCTGGTTGGTCTCGATGGGGTGGAGCCTCGGCAAGCGAGGCCCGCACCAGAGACGACAGGCACCGAAGCCGAAAAAACAAAAGACAGGGTTTAGGGTTCAGGGTTTAGGGTTTAGGGTAAAGGACATGTAGTTTTACTCAAAGCTTAAACCATGAACCCTAAGTGTTAGGGTGTGTGGATTGAGGTTTAGGCAAGATCATATAAGAGTTTAGGGTTGAGATTAGGGTCTTGCACTCGACTTTGAACCCTGAGCCCTGAACAGCTAAACTCAACCACAGGCACCGCACCGTCACACCTCGATGTGGTAGTTGCTCACTGCGACAGACCCATCGGTTGGATCCAAGAGTTCGTGACCTGGCCCATCTCCACAATGACTGTGTTCAGCAAGTGCAACTATCCGGTAGAGGGGGCCCCAGCAACAGCTCAGATCGTTCGCATGGAGAACATCGGGCGCTGTGACCATACCTACGCCCATTGGCTGGCGAAGAACGGAAATCGCATACCTGCAGATCGGCATGAGAGCGATCTCATCCTTTTCATTAAGGACAATGACATGTCCGCTCGGAACATTGGTGACATCCCAGTTGCATTTGAGAAGATGGTGCGCGTTGCCTCGGGACGACTGAAGTTTGCTTGCGGGCGTTCATGGCCCGGGCACAGCCTGTATCACATAAGTCAGTCGCTCATGAATTTTGCGCATGGGACGACTGTTTACAAAGTCTGGGAAAGCAAGAACAGAACCCGTGACGAACAGACCTTCATGTCGAGCTTCAAATCCTTTGGTGAGTGGGCAACAGCCATGGGCATCGCGAGAAGGATCAACAATCAGACACTGGTGCCTGTGTGCTATGGGGGGACCTTCCTTACCACCTATTCGCAGATGCTCAGCTTAGTTTTTTTAATGGGGTTCATCTCAACAGAATATCCAAGTATGTGATTCGCGCGTACCTCAAGATGCAAACAAGATTCGCAGAAGGACCGCGAACCCGAAACCTTTTGCCCTCAGCCCCCTACACTCTGACCATTTTTCACACTGCAACCCCCCACGATCAGGTTTGGTGGTCTGACCGCTTAAGGGGGTGCTCTGTTCCTCTGTGCAAGTGTGGGCGTGCGTGAAATCTGGGATGAGCGTCTAGGCTCGGTCGATAACCGCCAAGCATTCGAGACATTCACGTAGCACAGCTTTCACCGGTGCTTGCTGCAGCACGACCGCACACCAAGCACTAGACCCCTACCTAATTCCAAACCCTCAACCCTAAACCGAACCCTAAATCCCAAACCTTAAACCCAAATCCCTAAACCCTAAAACGCTAAGCTCAGGATTGTTCTCCCGCCCTTGGACGTCTGGAGCCGTCTGGAGACGTCGCTTTCCCGAGGCGACAACATCGACGCCAGCCCGTTCTTGAGTTGTTTAGTTTCAGGTTGTAGTATTGTTAGACGAGATTTTTGGTAACTTGGTCATTACAGAGCCTAGAGGGCCCTGAGCCCGTGGCGACCCTGAGCCCCAAGCCCTCAGCCCTAAAATTCGAAGCTCTGACCAGACCCTTGTGCGAGGGTCTCCAACCGAGGGGCAGGGTTCCCCCAGGAGTAGCTTGTCATTAAGGGGCCTGGATAATTAGAATAGGCGTCCTTTAAGGGTTCTTCAATTTAGAGTAGGGTTCTCTTATCTAGGGGGGTTAAATAATATCTATACCATTTTGGTGATAAGTAAGCAAAACATACCCCGAAACCCGATTCTAATCATTAAGCCCCCCTATGTTACCTGTTTGCTCTTTTTACTTTAGGGTTGCGTTTGGGGTTTAAGGTTTTAGGTGTAGGGTTTGGGGTTTGGGGTTCAGGGCTTTCTGTCCAGGGGTCAGTAGCACAATGACGCCTTGCCGATGAGTGTGCCCTTGTTCCCCCCCGTTCAGATTGAATAGCCACAAACCCTAAACCCCAAACCCTAAACTCTACACCCCAAGCCCGAAAGCCCAAACCCTAAACGCTTCACCCCAAGCCCGAAACCCAAAACCGTAAACCCAAACCCTAAACGCTACACCCCAAGCCCGAAACCCCAAAACCCTAAACCCCAAAGCCTCGAAGAGCGAAGGAAGAGGGCCACTTTGCCGAGAGATCCTGGGCCGCTTTGCTCTCAAACCCGCTGGAGCTTGCCAAGCAAGGCACAGTCCTAAGCCGCATCTCTTCGGTCAAGCCTCAATTCTTTTGGGGGGGAGGGGGCGGGAGTTTTTTTTTTTTTTTGGTGATTTTCAGGGCTTAGATACATTGTTGAGGGTTTGGGGTTTGGGGTCTGGGTATGTAATAAGGTTTTCGGGTTTGAAGTTTGTGCGTTTTGAGTTTGGTGGAGGATTTTAGCGAGTTTGGTGCAGCCTCAAAGTTTTGGGGTTTGGGGGAAATAAGGTTTTGCAGGGTTTTGGGTGGTTTTGGGGGGTTTTGAGGGGTTTTGGGGGGGGGTTTTGGGGGGTTTGGGGGTGGGTTTGGGGTGGTTTGGGGGTTTAGGACTTTTTAAGGTTTTGCATCGGTCGAGCCTAGGGTTTAGGCAGGGGCCTTTGTGTTACTTGTTGTGTTTAGGGTTTAAGGGTTTATATAGGGTTTGGGTGTTCAAATGTTTCACAAAGGGCACAGTTTTAATTTGCCTTCCTTCGCAACAAGAACCCCGATCTTTTCAAGTCATCATACAGTTTCACCGAGCTTAAGCGTATTTGTCGAAGAACCCTGAATCCTACGTTTTCAACCCTATACCCCCAAATCCTAAACTCGTCTAAATGGCCTCCCGGACAAGTCCAGGTATCGGGAGGCTCTGGCAGTATCCCATGAACGGCATGCTGGAACTGCGCGGTGAAGATGTCACTTGAAACTGCGCCCTTTGGTGCAAAAAAGAGGGCGGTAGGCTGTAGGGTTTTAGGTTTAGGGTGCAGGCTTGAGGGTTTAGGCTGGTGGCAGGCACTTGGGTTCCAGTTCAGGCCGAGGAGCAGTGAACATGATTGTTTTCGGAGCATGATTTCACTGACACTCTACTTGTGGTTCTGCTTTGGCCAACCATGAAAATCATCATCAACACCAACATCATCACCAATACCACTACCACCACCATCATTATCATCATCTTCTTCTGGGATCATGCCTTGTTCGTAGCATCGTCGTTGTTGTCGTTGCGGCAGAGTCACCAGTGCAGTCATCGTCAACAGCCGCAGCAGCGTAGCAGCAGCAGGAGTAGCAACAGCGGTGGCAGTAGTCGTGGCAGCAAAGGCAGCCACCACAGCAGCCGCAGCCACAGCCGCAGCAGTGGTAATGGCAGCAGCAGCTAGCGAGGAGTTCGATGTTCGCGGTTCTCCGCGAGTAGTTCGCGGCAGTGAGATTTCTTCGTGGTCGTTCGGCATAGCTGGTAGTTGTAGTGTTGCTACGGCGCAACAACATAGGCTGTCGCAGTAGAAGTAGTGGCAGCAGCAGGAGCGGGAGTGGGCCCCACCGCCACCGCACAGGTGGAGGGGAGCCCCCTGCCCCGGAATGAACGTCGTACCACAAGCCCCCCCTTCTCAGATTCCAGGAAGCGTACTCCAAGCAGTACCAGTACTAGTTCACCAGTCACTAGTCGTAGTATTAGTAGTACTAGTACGAGTACGAGTAGTAGTAGTAGTAGTAGGAGTAGTAGTAGTAGTAGTAGTAGTAGTAGTAGTAGCAGCAGCAGCAGGAGTAGTAGTAGTAGTAGTAGTAGTAGTAGTAGTAGTAGTAGTAGTAGTAGTAGTAGTAGTAGTAGTAGTAGTAGTAGTAGTCGCAGTAGTCGTAGTAGTCGTAGTAGTGGTAGTGGTAGTGGTAGTGGTAGTCGTCGTCGTATCAGTGGCGCTGTATTACCAGCAGGCCTGGGGGCGGGGGGTTACAGAACCCTGTGAAGTACCTAATAGGATGAAGCCCAACAACGCCTAAACCCTAAAGCAGGCAGTGGATCTGTAGGCTCCGATGGCAAAGAACTGCCAAGGCCGACAACCCAAAGCCAAGCCGGAGCCAGGGTTTTGGAGTGTAGGGCAGTGTAGGACCCCGCGGATTTATGCAGGGATTTATGCAGGTGCTGAGGGTTTAGTGCTTCAGTCGTTGAGGTTTTAGGGCCCATGTACGTACATTTTGGTAGGACTGGGGCCCTGCCCTGATACCTAAGCAAGGGAAGAGCCCTCAGCGAAGCAAAGCAACTTGGTTAGGATCTAGGGTTTAGGGGAGATGGGCATCCGCCCATGTGCACTGATCCTGGCCTTCTTCGTCTTGTTCGGCCTCTTCGAGCCACTGGCGAAGCTGGTCTCGGTCCTCAGTAGGGGCACCTGGCCCTGTACAGAATACCGCTTCGGAGTTTGGGGTTCTAGTCCTTGGGGTTCCGATGTTGCTTACAGTGTAAAATACCCAGAGCCCTATTCCAATCATTCAGGCCATGGTATTTAAAACAGATCCTCCTTCAGTCCTGGGTTGTATAGTAGGTCGTTTAGCATCCGACATCCCCGAAACTTGGGTTCATTAGGGAGGAGAATGCCGATTGCCGGTACCAAAAGATGTTTTACGAAATGCTATGCTAGGATACCCTTGAATGAGGCAGTATATTCTTGGATTCACCGGGCAGGTTTGGGGCTCGCTTGGTAGAATCAAGGTTTTCAGGAGCCGCCAAAAGCCTATCAACCATCAGCATGAGCTTGTTGCGGTAGTTTGTACCACAAAATGGGTCGATTTCAACAGTCGATGTGTACGTGTTTTCTGGTTCAGATGTTGTATGTTCGTAGGGCTTCCGATTAAGGTTTGGAGATCACTTGGGCCCAACTACGATAGGAGCATGACTAGTAGCTGGATATAGGCTTGATCTCATCATGGATAATCAGAATCATATTAATCCCTCCCCCTTCTGCCTAAACACAAATACACATTCGGGAGCATTTCTCTGAACTCATCACCGCCGTTTATAACATTTTTCTTGTTAGGGTGGTTCATGAACAAGAGCAAGAGCAGAAGCAAGAGCAAGAGTAGGAGCCAGAACAAGATTTCATTCAGCATGCAGCGGAATCAAACCACCTAGCGAGTTGCACAGCCTTTGGCTGGAGTCTCATGTGGACTCGACACCGTGCCCGAAAGCCAAGGTGTCTGCATGCTTAAGCACAGGTGGCTCAAGCAGAACCTAAGCTTATAGACGTCCTCATTGTCATGGCGTTTCCACCTGGCCAATCAAGCGTAACATGACCCCCCAAAAGTCAAAGTAGCGACAAAGCACCCCGAATAGTGAACACACCTCTCGAGTTTTGATTGGGGAGCGGGAGGCGGGGGGTTTCCCCCGTTTAATGTTCGGGGGAAGGGATTACTCCCTTCTTCTGATTTCCCAAGTACCAGCAGTCAGACGCTCGTGGGGTCGCTGGCCTTGAAGTAAATGACGACCATGAACCATGAACTCTAACACCTATAAAATTGAAAACCGAGTACCTAAACGTGTTGAACTTGGACAGTCTGAGCGGGTAGCTCTGGGCTGAACGCCTATGGGGAGCTGAGGGTTAACAATCTAGCGCTGTTGATTGGAAGCTGAAGCACGGCAGTTGTTTCTGCACGGCGGCGGTTCCTGGCTTAAGGCTTTATTGGTTAAGATTTCGCTCTCGGGTAAGTGTAGGCATCTCTGTTGAGGAGACGGCTGGGTTGGGACAAGCAGCCAAGGCACGGACAGTGCCGAAAAGCGCGAGCAGAGAGCACGGGCTGAGCTCAGTTCCCTCGTCTCTGCTGCGTCATTTTCGCCTGTGCCCTGCAAGGGGCCCAAGTTGATCGTTCATGTTGGGCCACAGAAAACGGGAACCACAGCCATTCAAGAATTCCTGGTGGAGAATGCCGGCTGGCTTCAGGAGCAGTGGGGCGTCAGTTTGGGCTGGCATGGCAAAGGAAAAGCAGTTCAGGAGTACATTGTGCATCCACTTGTCTATATCTGCAACTATGATCTGGCACAAGATTGAGTGTTTTGTTTTGTTTTTTTGTTTTATTTCCCCACGGAATACAAGCCAATATCGAATGAATGTTCTGTTTTTTGCAAGTTCTCGCCGACCACTCCTGATCACGATATTGAGCCCAGGCAATAGGAAGAGGGCCGTCTTGGACGAAAGGGGGATGTCAGAGACTGGGCTTTGGAGTACCATACTCGCATATTTTTTGTTGGTACTTGGTTCCTTACAAGAACCATCATGAAAATAAACGTCTATACCTTTTCCACCCTGGTTACTTCAAACCCTAGGAGAAGACGGCGAAGCAGCAACTCAAGCAAGGGCTGGACGTTCTCCAGTCCAAACTGAACTCATCTCACGTGGTTGTATTGTCCAGCGAAGGTTTCCAGAAGTTCAATGAAACATCCTGGCAGTGCTTGAAGTCTGAGATTCGGGCAGACATTTGCCAAATTGCAGTGATATTTCGCCGCAATTCCGCTACGTGGTATGCAGCACGCTGGTCGCAAGGCTCCAAGCACGCGAGTGCCTCGCCTGGACATGGGTCTGTTTAGGTTTTGTAGGTTGGCTGGTTTAGCGGTGAGTTGAACCCTCAATCCTAAGCCCTCTTGACCATGCTTCGTCATTCTCACAGCGGTCATTTGTCGTTTCTGTTTTCGCGCCTATGTTTTTTGTGCACGATGCAATTCTTCTGCGGGTAGGTACCTAGCCCCCAAACCCAGACATCCACTATGACATGTTGGGGTGTCTGAGCCGACAGACTAAACGAAGGATGTACAGTCCTTCTAAACCCTCGTATATGGTTTGGTTTTGGGCCTGCAAATCCCTTTTCCATTTCCCTAAAGCCCAAGTCCTGAATCCCACTTCCCCGAAAGGTCCCCCGCCGAGCTTCTCTTCGCATCTGGCCGCACATGCAGGCGTTGCGTTTAGTGTTTATAGCTTTAGGCTGTCGTGTTTAGGGTTTGGGGTGTACAGGGCTTGGGCATTCGGAGGCCAGTACAAGGGCAAAGCCTTTATGATCGGACTTAACTGCACCGATCTCTCGAACACTAAACGAGAGTGATGTCCGGGGCCTAGCAGGTGAATCGTTCCTGCAATGTTCAGCCAGACCTCCCGATCCAGCTTTTCGGAGTGGCATTATGGAAGCACTTCTCGTATCAAAGTGTACTCACCATCAGGCATGTTCTGCGAATCCAAGCATGTTACAGCGCCTGGAAAACTCAGAAAAAACAGAAGCAATGCGAGGAGACAGCGACGCACAGCTGCAGCAGCTGAACAGGCTGAGATTGTTTGACAGAGTGATTCCCGTTTCCTATGACTATCTGAAGGAGGTCAACTGCAGTGGAGCAGCCTTCCTGATCTGCAATGCTAGTCTTGGCCTGACAGGCAACAAGTGGTATCAGTGCAGGAATGCCGTGAATGGCCGTGGCTCCAAGCTTTGGAACAAGTCCCCACCTCATGCAGCAATTGATGTCGTTCGATTGGCCCGGGATTTTTACGAGATCAAGCAGGCAATGCGAAAAAACGCTTCGAGATGCAAGCCCTGGCCAGTCGGCTTTTTCAACGAGGACTATTTTCGCAGGCACCCTTATATCATGACGTCCACGAACCCTGCTGTCATCCAGGTGGCGAAAGAGATCCCGGTCAAGTGTGAAAAGTTCGACGGCTTGTTCCGCAGCGAGACTGAGAAGTGGTTTTCGTGGACCGGCGCCAAAAGGCCCAGTTCTGGCTCCAAGGACATCTGTACTGCAGATGTTGCTTCCTTCGAAGCGAAGCACTGGCGGTTGATCGGGAAGATCGCGCCCGGCTGCTAGCTGCAATATTCAGACACCCAAATCTTAGAGAATCGTCTGACTGAGGGGTTTGGACACGGAGGCATTACTCTGTCACTCGTGTTTCTTCTCCAATATTGTGGAGCATGCATCAAACGAGATCGGTGGCTTATATGTTGGTAGTCAGTGTTGCCACTTGTAGCAGCAATCTTGCATTCTGAGCGGGGAGACCACTGGCCGGATATCGAGCAGTGTGGGCCTACATCCCCTAGTAAACCAGCTTCTTTAAATGATTCGGACGCCCGTAACCGTCCGAGTCCCGGTCCCCAGCGAGATCCAAAGATGATCCTGCATGGGGCCAATATCATCCGGATTTCAGTAAGTGTCCGACGTGACTCCCGGTCCCAAACGGGCTGAGAATGTGGTCATGCAAGCGGCCAAAAAACATGGCTGTTGACATGGAGCCTGGAAGCAAGTTTCGTTCTAGAAAATTCGCAAGAGGCACCTATATGACCCATATACCTATAAGGCAATCCCTTCAAAGCGTCAGTATATACTAGATATGTACATGGGGTCTTATATGCTATACCCTATAGAACCCTTACAATCATTAGGACCCTTGTATATGGTAACCCTAAACCTAAACCCTTAAGCTACGTGCAGCCTTAAGGGTACGCATTGATCTTCCTCGTCTCCGCGCCATGATCCGCAAGCTAAGTTCGACGTCACAGTACGTACCAGCAGGAAACTTAGGGTTTAGGGTTTAGGGTCCTTGACAAGGTATTTAACTTGGGGTTTGGGGTGTAGCTGCGAGAACTGTATTCTGCCTCGGAAACTCGATGGATCCGTCCGGAACCGGTGCGAGAGAGGTAGAGAGAGAGAGGGGTTTAGGGTGTAGATTGAACAAGCACAAGGTGCTCATGGCCCGGAGCCGCCACTACCAGGCCCAAGGGGAGTAAGTAAGAGCACCTTGTCCTTCCCCAAGCCCCGACCGCACCAACGAACCTGAAACACGGTCTGCTGCAACGTCGCTTTTAACCAGAACCCTTGATAAAAGGAAGCCTGTTCAAATTCTTTGTGCCCCTGCAATATAGTTACAGGATGTTACAGCTTGAGATCTCCCTGCAAACCTGGAACTCCAACAACTCAGCTCGCGTGGATTGCAAGTCTGAATGTCGCGACCGCAACGCCGCAAGTTCCATTTTCAAGCTGAGCGGAACTTAAACCTCACGCCTTGACCCACGCGGTAGGCCATCACGAGAATAATCTCTGAACCCCAAGCCCTACATGCCGAACACCAAGCCGGCAGAGGTAGAATGCCTAGGTCCCCCCAATAAGTTGTGATTCCTGCTGTTTGCAACTGCGGAAAAGCGACTGATTCGACACCAAAAATGCGCAACACAGAAGATATTACCCCCTTACTGCTTCTGATAGGACCGAAAAGTTCCTGAGTCGTCGTGTCGAAGATAGCGGTTCTCCCTAAACCCTAAACCCTAAACCCTAGTAACTAGGCATCCTAAAAGGACCCGGGCTCAGCAACTAGTGATCTGCTAAGTTTGAGCTCTACACCCTAAACCCTAAACTAAATTTACACAACCCCTAGGTGAAGAGACCTAGCTGGACGCGAGAGACGCGAGCTAGAAACCCCAAACCCGAAATCCTTCTATCGGCGCCTAAATAATTACCCATACCATTTTGGGGGTTCCTGACTAGAAGTCTAGTAAAACATACCCCAAAACCCTATTCTAATTATTCAGGCCCCTGCTTGTAGAACCCGAGAATTCGTGGCATGGCGTCAACAACGACGCCAGCGACGTGCATTCCTGCCATGCCGGACGAGGGGGCGCCGACTTCAGATGCCATGATTACGGGCCCGGGCCCCCTGGTCTGATTCTCAATTTCGGGTTTACCTTAACCTACCAAAACCTATGTACTTTTTTGTAGGGCCCCTATAATTTCCATATTAAAAAAGCAGGGTTTGGTAGTTTGAGGTAGGGCTTAGGGTAATCCCGAAACTCTGAGTTCCCTTATTATAGAACCGATTATATAGCGAAACCGGCAAAGGAGTCTTGTAGATCCCTGAGGGGATTCTTCTAACCCCCAGGCCCTGAGCAAGTGTCTTAAGGTTCGGGATTTCAGTCCCACACCCCGAACCCTAAACCCCTAAATCGTAAACCCTAAACCCCAAACACGAAACCCTAAACCTATAAACCCGTGTAGTATAGTGTTCCCATCCGTCAACCAACCTGGTATTCTGAAGGCACCTATTGACGGAAAAGGAGGCTAACAAAGCATAAATGCATAAACCTAAACCCCTGAATCGTAAACCCTAAAGGGCCGACACTCTAAACGCCCATTGCTATGTGATCGCATTCGTTTAGAATTCCTGTACAAGCAGGCTATACTCTATTCTACACCAAAGCCCTTATTATCGAATGATTAAGGCTACTAAAGCCCTACCGAGCCTGGTACTCTTCACAGAGGCAATCTATGCGTCGCAGTCAAGCTTCAGTAGTTTCATACGCAGCATCCCACGAGGGTTTCGGGTTTAAGGTTCTGCATTCTTAAGTCTTTATCACATTCTAAAGGGATTCTTAGTGAATCAAGGTGATCTGCGTCAACGTAGGTGCTTTGTGCTTTGGAGCGACGTGGGGTTTCGCAGCCCCAACCCGCTGCATTCCCAAACCTGAAATCCCTGTAGCATCCCACGTAGCTCCTTTTGCATTAGGGGTGCATTCTAGGGATCCGCATAAGAAGGATCCTGCCTATATTGGGGTCCCCGGATTTTCCGAATCCACCAATATCAAATATCAAACCCGAAAGGCTAGATCATGCAATGCTTCTGTGGGGAAACCTCTTGGTGAGGGCCCCATAACGAAAAGCAACACCTTGCCCAGATCCCTGTGAGGAATCGTATAAAGATCAGCAAACAACATACCCGACAAGCCCAGTTGGGCCGGCGAAACGCCGAACCAGAAAGCTTCTACAAGACTTGTGCACGGTTTAGGGTCTAGGGTTTAAGGACACCCCCCGCCACAATCCGCGTAAAAAGGCTCAATCAAACCCTTTCGCAAGGCCTCGGGTAAGATGTCTTATATTGCACTGCAAACCCAGGAGCCTAACCCCTAGACCCCAGACTCTGGACCCTAAGCTCTAAACCCCGGACCCGAATCTAAGCACAACTAAACCCTAGGCCCTAAACCCTGGACCCTAAACCCTGAGAGAAAGGATCACCGCACTAAGGAAAAAGCCCTAAACCTTGAGCCCTAATAGTAATAACAGTAATCAGAGTAGTAGTAGTAGTAATAATAATAATAATAATAATAATAATAATAATAATAGTAATCCTAGTAATCATATAGTAGTAGTAGTAGTAGTAGTAGTAGTAGTAGTAGTAGTAGTAGTAGTAGTAGTAGTAGTAGTAGTAGTAGTAGTAGTAGTAGTAGTAATAATAGCCACAGACCTTACACCCTGAGCCCTACATCTTGGAGGCGCTGAGAGCACCTCGGAGGCGGCCTCGAAGGCGCAGATCGAGGAAGAGTTGGATGAGAGGCTCTGGGGCTTTAGGGGTTTTTAGGGTTTAGGGGTTTAGGGTTTCAGGGTTTAGGGTTTAGGGTTTAAGTGTTTAGGGTTTAAGTGTTTAGGGTTTAGGGGTTTAGGGTTTAGGGTTTAAGGAGTTTTTCTGGTAAGGGCTACTGTAAGGGTTCGCAAAATCGTTACATAAAGGGTTTAGGCTTCAGGGGTTTAGGGGTTAGGTCGCAGGCTTTTGGGTTTAGGGTTGAATGAGACCCTTCCAAGCTTACTTGCATCTGTATAGGGTTCCATGCTTTTGATAGTACTCCGTGGTTTCATTTGTTGCAACAGCTTTCAGGACTGACAGTTATGCTTTATAAAGGGTTTCAAAACGATTCTGCAGAAGTTTCGGGTGCTGGGTAGGGGTGTGCGGGTCAAGAGGACTGACTTCAGACGTTTGGGGCGCAGGATTTCGTGAATGAGGGTTTCAGGCTTTTGTACAGGATCTAGGTTTTGGGTTTGAGTGGCTCTTCAGCTTCAGCATCTGGGAAGCGGATGTAACTATAAAGGTCGGAATAGTTGGTAATGGTATTCCCCTCTTGTTATCATAGTATGCCACTAGATTCCGAAGTAATGGCGGAAAGAAGTGCCATCGAAGGCCCACCGAAGGATCGGGGTAGGCGGGGATGCATATTCCACCACCGTAAACCCAAAGCCCTAAACTCCAAACCCCAACACTAAACCCCAAAACCCTAAAGCCCTAAACCCTAAACCCTTAAACTTAAACCTTAAGCCCCCAACCCTAGATCCCATTTGAACCCGGAGCATTCCCGACCCCCTACACCCTGCAGTCCAAAACCCCGAAACCCGAGAGCCAAGCCCTAAACGCGGAACCCCAGAACCTAAGCCCTAAACCCGAGGCCCTAAGCCCTAAGCCAAATATCCGTGTACACCCCACAGGTGGAATTACATCGCCTCCTTGGCGATCAAGTACTGGACGCAAGCTGGCGATGAGGAGAAGTGCAGAGGGTGCTTATGTATGGTTTAGGGTTCAGGTTTTGGGCGGTTTGAGGTTTAGGGTTTAGAGTTTAGGGTTCGGCGAAATAGTCGGTACAACATGTACTAGCATTCTTTAGGGCTCTCAATAGTGGAATGGAGTGTAACATACCCCGGGCCCCTGCCCTAATTATGAAAGGCTTTACATGGTGCTTGAAAGGGTTTCGGGGTTCATGATTTACTGCATGTCAGCTGAGGGGAGGTTTCGTTTGGATGTTCCGTGATTGTACTGGGTCGGGTTCTGTTGTGCTGAATGTGGTTCAAGGGTCTAGGGCTTGAAGGTTTAGGCTTTCAGGACTGTGCCACAGCATAACATAGACATTCGGAAGGCTACCAGATAGTCCTTATGACCATTGTAGAATAGTTTTGCTTGAGGGTTTAAGAAGGTCTCGGTGTCAGGAGTGTAGACCCAACTTACACCTGAAACCCAAACCCTAAACCCCTAACCCTAAACCCTAAGCCCTAAACCTGACCCCAGGGTTCTTGAAGCTTGGAGTGCCTTAGATGGACCCAGGGTACCGAACTTGAGCAAACTGGCTTGAGGCTTAGAGACTTTGAGTCCAGAGCTTAGGAATGAAAGCTTAGGTTCAGGGTTCAGAAAAGATGTCGGGTTCGGGATGAGCGCTGAAGCATCAAACCAAAACCCAACCTCAGCTCCTGTACTTTAGGGGCCTGAATAATTGCCTATACTATTTTGGGGGGTTCCGTATGGTAATTCTAGCATAATGGGCCCCAAAGCACTATTCTAATTTTCAAGGTTCCTACATTACCCCAAGCCGGTCAACCTGGGATTTTGGACTGTAGTGCTCTCCGCAGTAGTCGTGGCAATGACCATATCCACAGAAACCATCGCAAGAACGCTCCTACTTGTGACCGTTGCTTCCGTCCGGCGACGATGATGGTAGCAAGACATCATTCAACAGATGTGAGCAAGAATCGAACCCTAAACCCTGAAGCTTAGCGCCTGCATCATCATCATCATCATCCTCATCCTCATCATCATCATCATCATTACCATCATCACCATCATCACCTGACTGTTCTCGAATAAAGTCGAACCATAAAGCCCCCCGCCCCCACCCCGCCGTCAGGCACCCCGATCGCCGCCGCAGTGTCCGCGGCAATGTCTGGGAGAGGCGGATTCGGCGTGACGGTCTGCTAAGATTAGGGTTTCGGGTTTAGGAACACTTATAGTTGTAAGATGCCCAAGATACAGTATATTGCCGTATCATTTTCATGCCAGAACCAAAGAACACATCATTGTGGCAGCAAGCCGATGGGTTATCATCATAGGAAGCCAAGAGGGGTTTTAGCCCATGGGGGTTTAGTAGGAATAAGGGTTCCCATAATACGGTTGACATTAAGGGATCCCTACCCCAAGAATCTTAAATCCTCATTTTTGGCCTCCCATGATATCATGCCGTAACCTCTTCGAAGACGTCCAGTCTTGGAGAAGGTATTCTTGAGGGCTTCGGGGGCTCAGCAACTTGAGGGTAGAGGGGTTTAGGGTTTAGGGGTTTAGGCCTTTATGGCTTAGGGTTTAGGGGTTTAGGGTTTAGGGTTTATTTGGGTTTGAAATGGATCTGTGGGTTTAGTGGGCGGAATGGTCGAAGTTTGGGGGAATTCTGGGTTGTAGGGTTAAGTGAAGAGCGTGCAAGGCTTGGGGGGTTTTGGGATTTCATTGTTGCAGCGTAGATGTGGAGTTTAGGGTTCAGCATCGTGAACTGTTGCACAAGATGGTGATACCTATCTGCGTGGGGTTGTTGAACCCCAAGCCCCCCAAACCCTAAAGGCCCTAAAGCCCAAGACCCCTAGACCTTAAACCCTACAGCAATATTTTGAAACCTAGTTTGAAACCCCGAAGCCCGACAGCCCAACATTACGCTTACAGCCTTGAAAAACAAGTAACGGTGGGTTGATGGTTTCCGGTAAAGTTGTGCCAGGTTGGGAGCCCATGTCAGGTGCTGGTGGTCATGGCCTTTGTTTGAAAGTGCCCACGAACTGTCAAGCTCTGCGGCTTCATATTCTAGACTTTCTAAACTGTAAGGACAGTATAAGTATGTAACGCCAATGCCCACCCTGAAGTTGCTGTGGCTTTGTATTGTAGGTTTTGTAAACTGTGAGGACAGTATAAGCATGTAACGCCAATGTGCACCCTGAAATTGCTGTGTATTGTAGACTTTGTAAACTGTAATGACGGTATAAGTATGTAACGCTAATGTCCACCCTGAAATTGCTGTGGCTTTGCATTGTAAACGTTGTAAACTGTAAGGATAGTTTAAGCATGTAACGCCAATGTCCCACCCTGAAATTGTTGTGGTTTCGTTCACTTAGCCTCATTCGGAGTTGGTCCCCTAGATTCTGGCTCAAGGGGTATAAGCTTTAAACCGCTGATGGTTTGACCCTCTCCAGACGGGATGGGGTTCATATTCCAAGATGGCATACTTGCACTTCGTGGTATGTCATGACAAAGCTTGTTGGCTGGGATGCTTCCCCCTTCCCAACCAGCCATTGTTGCGGGGCGTCTAGCAAGCAGCCTGTTATCCGACACGAGCTGCCTGGTGCTGGGTTCAAATCATTTGCGACATAGCTGGATCAGCCGAGCTGCGCAAGGCAAACCTAGATGCACAGCATGTTTGAGGTCTCCGGAATTCCAAGAAAGCCATACGTCGGAGCCTCACCTGCCTATGTGCAGCAGCAAGCTTCACGAGCACAAATCGGGTGATCGATCTTAGAAAAAGATGTCCATCACGTGCAGATATGTGTGCGGCATCATTATTGCGAACTTGCGCGCATGGGCGGGTTGGGCTGCTGAGCCTGGTTTCCTCATATTTTCGTTTGCTCAAGTGTCTTCTGGAAGTGGTCTCGCTTTGAGTGCTTTCCCTTTGAGCACAATGGTGGAATGCCACATGCCCCACGGGCCGATTGCATGGAACCACCCATGTGCGATGCGTGCTTTGCGGGCACCTGTGTTACTTGCATCATTTGGCGGACGACAAGGCGAAGATGCGCTGCAGGCAAGTGCGCTAAAGACACGTGTCACTGCGTGGACTCCTGAGTGGACTGTCAAGCTGGCTTTCTGCATCCCGGCCGTGCTCCTTTTGTTGGCCCTGTTGGTCATTCTCATGCTGGTGCGAGAAAGGCAGAGCCAGAAAGAGATTAACCTCATGTTGGTGCGACAAAGCGTTCGAGAAAGGCAGAGCCAGAAAGAAATCAGCAAGATAAAGGTGCGACGGACATGGCGGTTGGCAGCTACTGCTAAGCTGCGGGAAGTTGCTTATGATTCAACCTGCGAGGAGAAGATGAAGGCGAGCTGCAAACAGTTCGATCGTGATGAAGCACGTCAACGTGGTGACACCTTCTTCTTTGGATCTGAGGGCCTGGAAGCTACATTGCACGAGCTGGCAGATGCTAGCTTTGAAACAATGAAGTGTCGCATGGAGTTGGATCAGGCACCGCCGTGGAGTTGGCAGGCCAATCACGCATGGCTTGCTGTACGAAGTTGGGGGGCCACCGTAGGGAAGTGGGTGATGCAGACACTTGCGGTAAGTTGTTGCGAACTCCTTTCGTTTGGCAGCTCTGGGGCTGGTGCTGGACAAGCTTTACTTGACAGGATGCTTGCAACCATGGCAGCGCAAAATGAAGGAGTGATTTATGTGATCTTTTAATCCAGGCTGCGGCCGAATCTTTCTGGGAAGGTCAGGTCTTTACAAGCTTGGCAAGCAGCTTCAGCGAGGCGACTCCCCCACAATTGTTCGCCAACTGCCCAGGATGTGTTCAGAGGATTCTGAAGAGATGCCGCGAAGACTCAGGATTGAAGACTTTCGTCAGACTCGTGCAGGGAAAGCGTCGAAACAACGTTTCATCTTCAACGTCCAGCGGCTCAACGGCCTCTGCGCCATCGATATCGGCAGAGAAAACCCTACCTTAAGCTACCAGAACCTGTTGTTTCGTACGGCCCCCATAAACTGCATTTAGGGTTTACAACGAAAACCTACGAGAAGTAGGTCTAGGTAGGTGAAGGCAGGTCGTCCCTTGGTGTAGAGCAAGCTGTTGATCAAGCCTTGTAAAGCCTTTGGGACCCACGAACGACCCAGAAAGCTCCAACAGAGGACAATGATAATTTTCTACATCTTTGGATAAACCCCTTGAAACATCACCAAGCCCCAAATTCCTCAACAATTCGCAAACGAAGCGAAAAAACGTAGCATTTTTGAAGCCTCCCTAAACCCCAAACCCGAGCCTTCAAGACTCAGACACACACAAGACCCGAAAACCCACGAAGCCTTACAAAGCCTCATCAAACCAAACACCGCGAAGCTCCATTAAGCCACATCAAGCCATATCAAATCATAGGCCCTAGACCAGATCAACCCAGAAAACCTAAACCCTAAACCCAGAAACCAACCCTGGGAGGACCACCTTCGCCTGCTCCGCTACCTCCGCGATGAGCCCAGCAGCAGTTCCCAGGTGGGGGCTGTCATACACATTTACACATACGCTACACATCTACATATCTACATATCTACATATCTACATATACATACCTGCATATCTACGTATACATATCTACATATCTACATATACATATCTACATATCTACCTACACAAATCTACAAATACATATCTACATATCTACATATACAAATCTACATATCTACATATCTACATATCAACATATACATATCTACATATACATATACATATAAACATATACATATACATAAACATGTACATGTACATATACATATACATCTACATCTACATATACATATACATCTACATATACATATATATATATATCTACATATACATATGCATACACATATACATATACATATACATATACATATACATGTGCACATATACATATACATATACATATGCACATATACATATGCACATATACATATGCACATATACATATGCACATATACATATGCACATAAACATATGCACATAAACATATACATATACATATACATATACATATTTACATATACATATACATATACATATACATATACATTTACATATACATATACATATACATATACATATACATATACATGTGCACATATACATATACATATACATATACATATGCACATATACATATGCACATATACATATGCACATATACATATGCACATATACATATGCACATAAACATATGCACATAACATATACATATACATACATATACATATATACATATACATATTTACATATACATATACATATACATATACAGAAACTTTCATGTACAGACATATACAATCTACATCTACATCTCCTATACACTACATATACATATAAATATTATCTACATATCATATGGCATACACATATACATATACATATACATATACATATACATGTGCCACATATACATTACATAAACATATGCACATATACATAGCACATATACATATGCACCTATACATATGCCCATATACTTATGCACATAAACATATGCACGATAGACATATACCTATACAAACATAACATGTGCACATCTTACATATACCTTATATACATATACACATATACATTACCTATAAATATGCAGATACATATACATATACTATCATAATACAATTGTTGCCCTATACATATACCTAGACATATAACACATATACATATACAGTAATAGACAATCCGCATATACATATACACATGGTACATATACACAGATACATATGACACATTACCTATACACCATACCATAGACTTACATATGCAGGCTTCTACATATACTATACATATATAGATATACACCTACATATACATATACTTACATCTCACTATACATATACGCCATATACATATACACATATCCATATACACATATCCATAGGCACCTATACATATACGCCTAACATATCCACATATACATATACACATATACATATCCACATACTTAAATATACATATACATATACATATACGTATACATATAATCCTTTCCCCTTAATATTAAAGGGTCGGGGCCCCCCCCCCCCCTTCGCCCTAAATAAAAACTCGAAAATGTTTTTATAATTAGGGGGGGGTTGTTATCTCAATTCCTAGAAACACAGGTTCTACAAGTAATTAAATGATGAAAATGATGACGATGAAAATGATGATGACGATTACGGTGATGCTTGTTATGATGAAGATGGCGGTAGTGGTGGTGATGGTAATGATGACGATGATCATATGATGATGATGAAGAACATGATGATGATGTTGTTGTTGATGATAGCAATGCTTCATGGTTGCACAAGTGCAGAAGAGCACATGTGGTGAATGCCAGAAGCTTGGAAATAACATGATAATTAATTAAATATGATAGGAACTGATTAATTAATTAATGATGTTCCAAGATTCTGGCATTCGCTGCAAGTGCTTTGCTTCTGAAAGCTGTCAACAATCTGCCCGCTCCGCCACAGACAGGCAGCCTCAAGAAGAGGCCTTTGGGCCTCGCTTCAACAGGCTGTCACACACACACACACACTCACACTCACACTCACACTCAGACAGACCAACCGGAGCACTCAAACACAGACACCACTCACACACACTCACTGAGGAGGCAGACAGACAGCTGGAAGTGCTTCTTCGCTTCGCCGCCATGGGCGGCTGAGTGCCGCCATGGGCGGCGAGGAAGCCCACGAGAAGGCGGGATCTTTTCTAAGACGGGCGTTAGTAATCCTTCAGACACAAAAATGACGGGCAGGGGAATCGAACCTCGGCACCATCCATTGAGAGTGTAGCACTACCCCCTCGGCTATCCTGTAGCATATCGAAGTAGTGCAATTCTGACCCCTAGGAGATTATCACGACCACGATTCGCGGGCGCAAGGCCGAATGCAGTAATTACTGATAGCAAAGAACAGAGGATTGTAGTACAAGCTTAGTACTGGAAGAGCCTCGTCTCGGATGCTGTCGGGATGATGTCGGTGCTAGAAGTGTCTCCTGTCCGATGCTGGCTGGATGGTGCTCAATTCTAGTACAAGCTTAGTACTGGAAGAGCCTCGTCTCGGATGCTGTCGGCATGATGTCGGTGCTAGAAGTGTCTCCTGTCCGATGCTGGCTGGATGGTGCTCAATTGTAGTACAAGCTTAGTACTGGAAGAGCCTCGTCTCGGATGCTGTCGGGATGATGTCGGTGCTAGAAGTGTCCCCTGTCCGATGCTGGCTGGATGGTGCTCAATTGTAGTACAAGCTTAGTACTGGAAGAGCCTCGTCTCGGATGCTGTCGGGATGATGTCGGTGCTAGAAGTGTCTCCTGTCCGATGCTGGGTGGATGGTGCTCAATTGTAGTACAAGCTTAGTACTGGAAGAGCCTCGTCTCGGATGCTGTCGGGATGATGTCGGTGCTAGAAGTGTCTCCTGTCCGATGCTGGCTGGATGGTGCTCAATTCTAGTACAAGCTTAGTACTGGAAGAGCCTCGTCTCGGATGCTGTCGGGATGATGTCGGTGCTAGAAGTGTCTCCTGTCCGATGCTGGCTGGATGGTGCTCAATTGTCGTACAAGCTTAGTACTGGAAGAGCCTCGTCTCGGATGCTGTCGGGATGATGTCGGTGCTAGAAGTGTCTCCTGTCCGATGCTGGCTGGATGGTGCTCAATTGTACTACAAGCTTAGTACTGGAAGAGCCTCGTCTCGGATGCTGTCGGGATGATGTCGGTGCTAGAAGTGTCTCCTGTCCGATGCTGGCTGGATGGTGCTCAATTGTAGTACAAGCTTAGTACTGGAAGAGCCTCGTCTCGTATGCTGTCGGGATGATGTCGGTGCTAGAAGTGTCTCCTGTCCGATGCTGGCTGGATGGTGCTCAATTGTAGTACAAGCTTAGTACTGGAAGAGCCTCGTCTCGGATGCTGTCGGCATGATGTTGGTGCTAGAAGTGTCTCCTGTCCGATGCTGGCTGGATGGTGCTCAATTGTAGTACAAGCTTAGTACTGGAAGAGCCTCGTTTGGATGGTGCTGGCATGTTTCTTCTGATTGTTTTTTTTTCCCAAACGTGCAGGCCAGGCTGCGAGCCGCTTTGGAGAATGCTTTGGCCGAGCTTGACAAGGCGCAGGGGTGCTGATGAATGAATTGACCGAATTGCTCTAAACATCAGGACGACGAGAGGGAAGCCAAAAGAAGGAAGACAGCCAAGACAGTAGAGGTAGTTGACTTGAGCAAGGAAGAACCACAGGCAGTGGTTTGCAGGCAGAGCAGCCAAGACAGCCTAGACAGCAGCCAGACAGCTAGAGGAGTCAAGAGGCAGGCGAGCTTTCACACACCTTCGCCGAAGAAGCGTCTGTTCAGTCCTGACAGCAAGGGTGGAGACAGCCAGAGCCCAGGCAGCCAGAGCCCGGGCAGCCAGAGCCCAGACAGCAACCCTGTGCAAAAGAGAAAGATAGAACAGCTCAAAAAGACCTTAGGCCCAGGCAGTCCAGTCTACTACAGGCTAGACTACCTTTGGGGCAAGGCAGCAGAGGCAGAGGCCAAGCCCGGCCTTTCGCCAGACACAGCTAGTGACAGACAGAAACAGCAGCAAGCTGAGAACATGCAAAACCTGCAGCAGAAAGCCAGCCAAGCAGTAGAAAAGCTCGAACTGGAGCCAGCTCTTGGAGTTCTTAAAAAGAGACGGGGAGGCAGACCGCTAGGCAGTAAGCAGAAGACGAAAGCGGTGCCGCATCTTCGCAAGAAACGATGTGATGTGACAGCCAGAGGCAAGCTTTCCATGATGGAAGAGCTAGACAGAGCAGCTGTAACTCACAAAAGCAAAACTGCAGCCAGGCAGCATGTCATGAGGCAGTATGGTGTGAGCAATTCTTTTTGCTTCAACCTGCAAAAAGACTATCACAGACAGAAAGTCACCAACTTTCTCGCCAGCACGGGGCGAGGACACAGTGCCAGACAGGCAGGCAGCCATTTGGGTCTCGTGCACCTCGTCAGCAAGTCAAATGGCCGAAGACTGCCTGACCCAGGCAAAGTGCTGGGTAGGCCAGACTTTCTCCTGCCAGTCTGGTCTGAGACCCGTGCTTGGGCCTTGAATGAGGAAGCCAGCCAGCACGTCCTGACGAACGAAGACGTGCTGATGGACTTCCAAGAAAGGCTCGACAAAGCCATTGCAGTCAGGCAGGCAGAAAAGGAAAAGGGTCTTCTTGACCAGACAGGTGAGAAGGAGCTGGCAGCCATGACGCAAAAGAAAGCCACGCTAGCCAGCAAGCCAAAGCAGAGGAGCAAGTACCAGATCCTGCTCCTGGCAAAGTGCGGTCTTCGAAACAGATCCTGCCAACAGACAGCCAACCTGAGCAAGGAGGATGAGAAAGCCAGGCTAGACTTGTCCTGGCGACTCTGGGACTTGCTTTTGGAACAGGCAGCCAGCAAGACACCACAGCCAGACTTGCCTGTAGCAAGCCCAGAGCAGTGGACGACAAAGCGAGCAGAGACAGCCATCACCATGTCAGACCAAGTACCTGCTTGGCTCAAGCCAACGCCAGGGAAGGCGTTGACATCGGTGGTGCGCTTGAAGCTAGCCAGCGAGCAAAGCAAGGCCAGGCGAGAGAACAGGAAAGCCAGACAAACACAGCCAAAGGCCAAACCTGAGGCCAAAGCCAAGGCCGCACCTTGGCGGTTTTGTTGGGTGGATTCGAAGTGGACTTTCGGGTTTAGGGTTTCCTTAAACCCCAAACCCAAAAGCCAAAGCCTAAACATTCATGCACCTTCATGCTTTCGAAACCAACCGAGGCACCGAGGCTGGCATGTGCTTCTCGAGCCCCAGGTGTGGCAGCAAGGTGGCGAGTCAGCTTGGTAGCTAGACAGGCAGTGCAGAACTTCTTTGCGCCAGACAGACAGCCAGTGGGTGTCGTTATGCCCACGATACTTGTCACATACGGCAAACACTGCAGACTTGAAAACATCAGCCAGGAAGGCACGTGGATCAAGTCCGAGTGCTTCCAGGTAGGCAGCCAGACAGTCAGGAGAAGGGCAGGCCAGCGAGTGCCAGGACAGGTCATGCGCACTTGGCGCAAACTGCGACAGACCCAGCCACACCTGTTTGATGGCAGTGTCAGGGTGTGGTGCCAGCCAGCCGCAGTGGTAGATAGCGGGATTTACAGATGGCAGCTAGAGCTCGAGTCAGAAGAGCACAGCCAGGCAGTGCAGCTCGTCGATATGTTCGGCGGAGCATGGACGACGGAGTCCATGCACGCCGCTGCACTCCTGCAGCGAGCTCAGACAGGCATTGCAGCCGGGTGCACCGGCTTGACCCAGGTGACAGACATCGGGTTCGCCCAGCCAGCCAAGGCAGCTCTCAAAAGGTGGCAGGAAGACTTGAAGCAGCGCATGCGAGAGAAAGCCAGACAGCAAAAGGTGCAGTGCACCTATAAGACAGGCCCGGCAGACATTCTGGAGGCAGCTAGACAGATGCACGCCAGGATGGTGCAGTTGAATGAGACAGAGAAGACAGTCCTTCGCTGCATGCGGCAGGGAGGCTGGTTCCACTTCCGTCCAGACAGTGAAGGCAGGCTTCAGGACTGTGGCAGCCAGGAATGGTGTCTGGACTTCCCTGAAGGCAATGCCAAGCTAGGCAGCGACCACCTCAGAGACAGGTCTCGTTGGGTGGACAAGACAGGCAAGGTGCTTCCGTGGACAGAGGCAGACAGCAAGACATTTGATGAATCCAATGCATTCGAACCCGAGTCTACGTACCTGCTTGGCCAGACAGACATACACTTGAGCTTCCGAGCGAAGCCCAATCTCCTTGCTCAGTCAGAAAGAGAGCTCAGAGAGGTCATTCTGAGACAGGTCCACCCGAACGAGAGGAGACGGCTTTTCCAGGAACAGGTGGACCAGACAACCAGCCAGACAAAGACAGACAGGCAGCAGAGAAAGGAAAAAAGGATCAAGAACGCGAAGCAAGACAGAAAGAGGCGCAAACTTTTGAAAGAATGGAGACAGCAGCAAGCCAGCAAGACAAAGAAGCAGGCTCTGCAGTCTGTCGTGCCCAAAGTGGGCCAGAAAAAGAAGAAGAAGGCAGACAGAAAGAAGCCCAGCCAGGTCAAGAAGCAGCAAAAGAAAGACCAGGCGAAGAAGGCTCAAAGACGGGCAGCCGAGCCAGGCAGTGAGGGACACTTGCATGGCAAGCAAGCTCGAGTGATCGGTGACCTGGCTCCTCTGCTGGGCAAGATCGTGGTGTGTGGAAAGCAGACAGACAGCCAAGTCCTGATCAATGCTGACGGAGTTCATGAATGGGTCAGCCACACAGACATTACGCTGGACGTCAGAGACAGACAGTTTCCGCTGGTTTTGGATTTGGAGTCTTTCCCCAGTGCTGCAGCCAGCGAGGAAGCGGCAGCCAGTGCAAAAGATTTGCGGCTTTACAAGCACGAAGACCTGCTGACAGACAGCCAGCTCGAAGCTGGCATCAGGGAGATGGCATACCGACTCTCCCATGGAGCAGAGCCAGCCAGCCTGTGTGTTTTGCGGCCAGCAGAGGCCAAGCAACTTATCCAGACACATACACTCAAGGCAGCAGCAAAGACAGCTATGGACAGCCAGGCTGGTTTGGTCTTGGCAGTCGTGCAAAGCCAGCCTCCGAGACACTGGTCCTTGCTGGTGGTCGAGACAGTCAGAGACAGCCCCGAAGCGAAGGTCAGGTACTATGACACGTTGCCCGGTGAGGCAGCCTACAAGGAAGCCAGTGCAGTTTTGAAGGTGCTGCTGCAGACAGCCAAGAAACAGGCCCAGCCTTTGCCTGCGCCAGTCAGTCTGCTCAGACAGACAGATGGCTTCTCGTGCGGCCTCTGGGTCTTGATGTATATGGAGCAGGAGTGGCGGCGGTGGATGGGTGAGGCCCCGCAGCCACTTGTGAAAGACCTGCCAGCCAGAAGCAGCCAGCTGAACCGCTGGATTCAGCTGCTGCTGCGAGGCAAAGAGCTAGCCAGACAGAAAGAGAGTCAGCAGCAAGACAGCCAGACAGCAGGAGACACCATCGTTTTTGGCTGTGCCCACTGCAGTTTTGCTCTGAGTGGCTGCCTTCGCTGCAACAGAACGCAGTTTTTGAAGTATATGAGTAACCAGGCACACAAAAAGGCAGAGGAGGCAGCAAAGGCACCCGAGGCCCAGGCCAAGACCAAGGCCAAGGCCAAAGCCAAAGCAAAGGTGAAGGCTCTTGGAAAGCCAGGCAGCTCAGGAGCCATCTCGTGCACAACTAATTAAATAATGAATTACATATCGAGTTTTACATTAATTAATTACAGTAATTACTTCTTCGTACAGGATGTGCCTCGCTTCGCATGCTGGCTGGATTGTGCCACATCGTAGTACAAGCTTAGTACTGGATGTGCCTCGCTTCGCATGCTGGCTGGATTGTGCCACATCGTAGTACAAGCTTGGTACTGGATGTGCCTCGCTTCGCATGCTGGCTGGATTGTGCCAAATCGTAGTACAAGCTTAGTACTGGATGTGCCTCGCTTCGCATGCTGGCTGGATTGTGCCAAATAACACCTCCACAACACCTCCACAACACCTCCACAACACTTCCACAATACCTCCACAACACTTCCACAACACCTCCACAACACCTCCACAACACCTCCACAACAACTCCACAACACCTCCACAACACTTCCACAACACTCCACACAACACTTCCACAATACCTCCACAACACTTCCACAACACCTCCACAACACCTCCACAACACCTCCACAACACTTCCACAACACTTCTACAACACTTCCACAACACCTCCACAACACCTCCACAACACCTCCACAACTTCCACAACACTTCTACAACACTTCCACAACACCTCCACAACACCTCCACAACACCTCCACAACACCTCCACAACACCTCCACAACACCTCCACAACACCTCCACAACAAACACCTCCACAACACTTCCACAACACCTACCACAACACCCAAATCAGCAATGAGCTTGTCTGCAGCACTCTCGACGCAGAGTGCCCAGGGCTTTTGGTCACCCAAAGTCTCGGTGCTCAAAGCTTTTGGTCACACAAAGTCTCGATTCCAGGCGGGGAAAGAGCTTAAATGACGAGTCCGGGGATTGAACCACGGACCTAGTCCAATGCGAGTCGTCCGCCCACCCCTTAGGCTATCAGAGGATTGGAACGGAGAGGGCGATGGACCATCTTCAGTCACGGAGAGATCACAATTGTCGCAGCCCGGTGGGGTCTCCGGTGAGTGTTCCGAGTCGCCACCCCCTTTTGCTGAGCCTCCCAGTGCCGATGCCCAGAAATTCTGGGAATTGCCATGTGTAAGGTCGGTCGCCAAAAACCTTGCCGGCAGGGTTTTCATGGTCTAGTGGTTAACGTCGTGCCTGCCAGGAGCTGGAAGGCTGCCCGACAGATCCTGGGCAGCATGGACGAGCGACAAGGGCATCTTCGGAAATAGGGTGGATTGTGCTTTGGAGTAATTATTGGAGGTGCTTTCCGAAGGATGCTGCATGGACTCTAGAATCATACACTGAACAGAGGACCCCATGGTCTAATGGATAAGGCGCTCTGTGGGTAAACCACGGAAAGATGGGTGGTTCAAGTCCCCCTGGGGTTGTTCTCATGCCAAGTCGCAGTACAAGCTTAATTAGTACTGGAACCGCATCCTTCCCAACCCTGTGCGGCAGGGTCCCGGTAGCGTAGTGGTTAGTACATCCTCCCTTGACCCTACCAAGCAGGGAGTCCCCAGCGGGCCACTAAGAGGCCAACGCGGCCGGGCCATTTCTGACCATTGGAGGTGTTAGCCGCTGCTCTTTGTAGTTTTATTGTAGGCTAAAGTTCAGGGCTGTAGGCAACCCTAAGCCCTTGCTTGGAAGCTTGTCCTGGCTGACTGGAAGCTGCCTTGAAGTGGACTCTGTTCTGAAGAAGCTGCCCATGGAGAACGACCTGATGTGGCGGCCAGTCATCTGTGCAAGAGCAAAAAGCACTCACAGAGCCGGATCCGGCAGACCATGTGGACACTGGCAAATAATCCACAAGTGACAGGGAGACTGGCGACAACTGCAACTCACCGAGAACTCCCCTCGGGCTGCGTCTTTTTTGGGTGGTTTCTACTGGCTGATGCCTGCTGATGCTGGATGAACTGGCTGGCTGCGACTTGCTCATATTCTCAGTACTGGAAGTGTCTCCTGTCCGACTGCAGTGAGGCTTGCCCTGTGGCTTCCTCCAATGGTGGCCGCTGGACCCTGCAAGTCAAAACCAATTTTGGCTCAGTGGTTAAGGAGTGGGCTTGTTGCCCGAGCCAGAGATCAGAAGAATTACCTTTACTGGTAAATCAGCGCAAACCGCACGGAAGTAGGTTTTCGATGGTCTTCTGGTTAAGACTGGCGGGGCCTGCTTGCCTTGTTTCGCATGCTGGCTGGATTGTGCCAAATCCTAGGACAAGCTTAGTACTGGATGTTCCTCGCTTCGCAAGCTGGGCAGGATGGTGCTGACTTGTAGTACGAGCTTAATTCATTCATTATTTACTGAAACATAATCAGTTTCGTCCTTCATGCACCAGATAATTACTTGGTTAGTTTGAGTTTTATTTTTCACTTAGTTCTACTTAGTTCTACTTCATTTGTTAATTATCTGGATTTCAACATCTCTCATAATTTCCACAGACCGCTCGCACCAGCCGGGAAGGAAAGCTGACTTGAAAGGAAGTTCCGCAGGCAGGACTTCATTTGAGACGCTTGCACAGACAACCAGATCAATCAATTCAGTAATTAATTAATTAACTTTACCAGCCGAGATCCGTCTTCCATTCTCAGTCTCCTTTTCCAACGAAACATGCAGGGCGGGTTTGCCGGAAGACAGCCAGCCGAGATGCCTGACAGCCGCTGCAGGCCGACTCTCTTCGATTGTGCAGACACCAGACGGCTTGTTCAGTGATATTAATTTGATAGACACGAACGACTTTCCGTCAAAGTTTGTTTCCTGCCGAAAAGAAGCATGCAGGCCGTCTTTTCCTGGGCAGACAGCAAGCCGCCTGACAGACGGTGCAGGCCGAATCCATTGCTGTGTTCATTTCAGCAGGCAGCCTGTTCAGTCATGCAAGGAGTGCTTTCATTTGCCATTCGACCTGCAAAGCAAGCTGCTCCAATCCAGGCAGCGAGCCTGGAACAGTACGTAGCAGCACAGGACTTACTTTCAGAACACAGCTAGAAGAGAGGCACAAACACACACTGGGCAGCGAGCCTGGAACAGAAAGAACAACACAGGATTTACTTTCAGAACACAACTAATTAGGTGAGAAACACACACACACACAGACAAGTGGGAGACAGACAAAGGTAGCCAGACAGACAGACAGACAGCCATGGCCTTGCAAGCCCTGGAGTACTTGTGCAAGTTCTCCGACAGCGACATCCAGACAGCTGGACGCCAGATAGACAGTGAGAAAGTCCGACGACTGTGTCACAGCTTGGTGGACTGCCTGGCCCAGCGAGTGACACAGACGGACTCAGGGCAGACAGCCGCTGCATCTGCCGCACCTGCAGACAGCCAAGCCAGCCAGGCCTCTCCTCGGAAAAGGAGTGTGAGCAACAAGAGGGGCAAGGTGGACCCTTACAAGACAGACAGCGGTGCCGCTAAAGGTAGTGGCCAGCAGGCAGGCCAGGCAGGAGGTGCCGCTGCTGGTGGTGGCCAGCAGGCAGGCCAGGCAGGAAGAGACAAGAGCAGGCCGCCGACAAAGAACAAGCTGCCGAAAGACACTCAGGCAGACCAGGTAGCGCCACCGCCAGCTCCGCCAGCTCCGCCACAGACGAGCCAGTGGTCTGGCCAGAGTCAGAGCAGCCAGTCAGATTGGGGCAGCCAGTCAGACTGGTGGTCGACCAAACCTTGGTGGGAGTGGGAGAAAGAAAGCCAGACAGACAGCCCACCAATCCCGTCGACTGGACTGGTTGTGGCGAAAGGCAGACAGATCGGAGGCAGGGGCAGGTACAGCCATGCGCAGAAGACGTACTTCTGCATTGTCCAATGCTTGAAATGCAAGGCCGAACCTTGCAACAAGAGGATGGAGGCAGAGGTGGACGGCCACTGGCCGCACTTCTGCCGTGCCTGCAAGCCCCACGGGGCGCCTGACCCTAAGTGGTAGGGCAGGCAGGCAGGCAGGCAGTGGCCGTCGACCTCTGCCTCCATCCTCTTGTCAGCCAGACAGCAAGGCAGTGGCCGGACAGCTAGACAGACAAGGCAGTGGCCGGACAGCTAGACAGCCAGACAGAGACACACCCTTGCAGGCAAGAAAAAAAATCGCCTTCAGAGTGGGAATCGCTGACTCATCAATCAAGCAGATAGAAGCAGATAGTGATTGTGCCTGTTGGCCAGGCGCCCGCGACCTGCCGCCAGACAGCCGTGTCAGCCCGCGACCTGCCGCCAGACAGCCGTGTCAGCAGTGTACGGGCCCACAAAGAAGCTGTGGCTAGCAGAGTAATTAATTAATTATTCGGTGGAAACCGTTCCGAACAAAACCTGCCTTAGCCTAAACGGCCCTAAACTCTGTGGGCTCTTCTATTCATGGATGTGCAGCCCAACCTAAA